TGTCTACTAGTTTTCGAAAATCTAAATCGGGTTCTCGAATTGAAGAAGGATGGGATGCTCTCTTTTTTATTGCTATTTTCCTTAATTGTGGTGTTAAGGTCATCATTAAGATTTCTGTCATCTTTGTGTTTTTATAGTCATGTGTATTTAATGAATATGCTTTTCGAACTAGTGTTTCGATTCGTACTGCTATTTGCTTGATGGTTTCGTTTGGTAATCTGCGAATTTCATTACATAAAACTCTTTGTTGTTGTTTGTTTCTTTCGGAGTCAAACATTTTTGAAAATTCCTGTGTAAACCTTTTCCAGTTTGATTTTATTTCTAGAGGTAGTACTGAAAACCATTTTTGGGCTGCGCCATCTAAGGTTGTTTGTATTAACGCTGTGCGTCGATGTATCCAATTTTGATGTAGTGGCGTATTAATTGGTTCAGGTCCAATATTTAAAATCAGGTTTGCTGTTACTGCATTTAAATAATCTTCTACAGAGTATTCAGGGTCTGTTCCTGTGAAAACCATTAAAGGTTTGTTTGATGTTATTGATGATCCACCCATAAGGTATGGATTCATTGTCATTTGTAATGATTCTGCTGCATTTGGCATTTGAGAAAAATTTGAAAGTTGGTTTCTTGTTATTTCATGTTGTTGGAGATAATATGGGAGTGGTATTTCATTTTGCATTTGTGATGCTTGATACGAGTGTGCAGTCATTGGATTTTGTTGTTGAATTGGTTGAAAAGATTGTGTATTAATTAAATTTTGTTGCTGAATTGGTTTTTGATGTTGTGCATCTATTGGTTGTGGAGAAAAATTTCTATGATTTGTACGTGTTTTCTGTATTCCTTGTCTACGATATTCTTGAGTATTTGGTGCAAATATATCTGGTTGTAAGAAATCATCATCTGAGGATAAATAATCCATTTGATAAGATGTCTGTTTTTTATTTTTATTTTGTTGAAAAAATGGGTAATTTTCACTGTGATCCTGTGGAGGATTTGTTTGGAAATTTATTGAATTAGGTTGGGTCATTGGGTTATCCCAATTTCGAGATCTTGTATATTGGTTAAAATTTCTTTGTGGTTGGTTATATGTTTTTGATGGATGTGTATAATTATAATTATGGTCTGCAAAGTTGTTTCTAGTGAATGTTTTGTGTGTTTTTGATGGTATTGTCATGGGTCTGTATGTTTGGTAATCCATATGTGAATATTTAGGGGCAACCGAAGGTTTAACGGTTGATTGTAAGGTTACCTGTGTTTGTGAAGGATTTTTATTTCTTGGTGTTGTTAAATTTGGGCGTATTGGTGAAATACTTTGTTGTGTAGTTGTTGTGTGTACAATTTCTTCATTTATGAAGTGTGATGGTGTCTGGATATCTTGTTGAGTAAGATTCCTAGTTCCATTGAGGTTTTCATTGTGTATAACTGAAGAGTTTAAACTATTATTTTGTGTATCGGGCAAAAATGTATTATAGTTTAATGGTGTTGCATCAATGGTTAATGGTATTACTTTTACATAATCTCTTATGTAAGATATCGTACTTATTGCTTGACTTGAGATTGATTGTGGGAAGCTTATAAATGCGGGATGAGACCATTCGGGGTCCCAAACATAATCTGATTGTTCTGTGATAGCGGTATCATCGTTCGAGTTTTGGGGTCTAAAATTTTTTCTTGCTTGTGCAATTAAATCAATATTGTGTGTGAAATAATCTATTATGAACCATGCCAAAATTTTTTGTAGATCGTGTTTTGTATGTTGTGAAACGTCGTCTTTCGTGAAATTTTCTTTAATGATGTTTAAATAACTAGAGAGTAGTGTGATTTCAGGTCGTACTCTTAAATGTTTAGATGTTTCTGTCGGTGAGACATTTGTTATTGGGATTTCGTTTTCTAATATCGAAATATAACTATATATTATTGCGAAAACTTCATTGGTGAATATGGAGTTTGCTCTTTGTGAGTTATGATATTGGATGCTTTTTATATATTCTGAAAAAACTTTTGAAAATTCTAAATCAAGATCGTCTGTTTGAATTGTATATTTTCTATTATTATGGTTTGGTGAGGTGAATTCTATGGAGTAGATTCCATACTGTTGTGTTATGTTGCATATATCTTTTAAGTAGTGGTCTATGATTTGTCTTTTGATTTTTACATCTGGGAACTCTGTTTTACATGGACTGATTCCGGGTTCAAATAAATTTAATAGTAAATTTTTGCAAAATATGTGCTGTCCTCTATCAGTGGTTGCATCTACTATAAAAGGAAAGATTTCATCATCATCTGGACTTTCTTCACCTGGGGTGTGCGTTGAGCTCATTTTTTCGTTCGATGACTGTTAATATGTAATTATTAATGTGTCGAATTGGTTGATTCCAATTGTATAAATGTACTGGTTTGTGTTTATACTGCTTTTTTATTCTTCTTTTTCCTCTTTTTGATGAATTTGAAGTTGTTTCTGAGTCAGAAAAATATAATTGATCGTGAAGTGGGTAATTTTTATCTATTGATTCTTTTAGTTTGTAAAGTTCGTCTAAACTGTTGGTTTCTGATTCTGAAAATGCGTTTCGATTTTTTGAAAATCTTTTTCGTGTTATTTGTCTTTGTTTCGCTATTATTTTTCTTTTTAGTGTTTGTCGTTTTGTTCGAATGTATCCAACTGTTTGTGTATGAGGTGTGATTACAAGGTCGTATTTCTTGTTATCTATTTCACAATTGTGTAAAACGATTGTTTGTTTATTTCCTAGGTTTTTAAATGACATAAGGTTTAGGATGACGGATGCAAAAGGTTGTTAAATGATTTCTATTTTCCTAAACTGTTAGTTCTTACGATTTTTTGGTTAGCTTAACCTGGGTCTATTTGTTCAGGGTTGGAGAGAAAAGTATATCGATTCCGAAGAATGATTTTTTACTTTCTCGTGGCTAGTATAAGTTAAGGTGTTAACTTACTTAATCTTACTTAGGGGTAGTGATTGTGTTCAAGGGTTGGAGAATAGTAAATCGATCCACAAGGTTCAGGTATAATTAGAACGCGAGTAGTTCGTTAGATACTATTTTAAACTTACTAAGTCTAAGATTTATCCTGGGTCTGGTAAGAGGGGGGGTCAAGTGAAGGATGAATAACCGAAGTTCTTCACTGTTTATACTAATTTGAATGATTAGTTTTGTTTAAAAATTTCTATTAGTTTTGGGTCTTTAGAAAGGGTTGGGTAGTGAATCGACGTTTGAGGTCGTTAGACACTAATTAAGTGGGTGGGGGAGAACAAAGTTGTTCTGTTTGATCCAAGGATAAGCCTTGATGATCAAATTTGAAATTTAGTTAAGTAGAAAATGATTTAAGATCCAAGGATAAGCCTTGATGATCTGGTTTTAAAATTAAGTGAATTTAAGTTTTAATAAAATTTTAATGTGTGTAAAGGAAAGATTTAGTGTTTTGATGATATTAGTGGGTTTATGATTGCTGTTATGTTTTAGGTGATGGAGCTGGAACAACAGGATGATTTATGATTACTAACCATTTATTGTCATGCTACTAATTTTTATTTTTTATTTTTCAATAAATATTTTTCAAACATGTTTTGTATATTACTGCAGAGTTTTAGGAAAACGATCTTAGATCTTTTTATCAATCGTTATTGTATATTAATAATTTTGTTTAGCGCCTGAAATGATTTTGAAGATTAACTTCAAGGTTTTATGTTTGCAAATGAAAATCTAAATTCATTGCCAGTAGTATTCTAAATATAAAAGTTTGTTCTGGTTTTTGCCTAACTATCATATAGCTATATGGCAAGTTTCTACTTTGTCGTATGTCGTCTCTGGTTCGAGGTCTTCTTCCAATTCCGGGTAGTTCTGTTATGGTTCGGAATATTGGCTCTGATCTATTGAATCGTAGAGACATTTCGATTAAATTATTGTCGTATAACATTTTGTAAATGTTTTTGTCTAATTTCTAATCTATTTTGGTTAATTCTAAGCTATTAAGGTCTTGTTCGAGACTTATGGTCGCACCAGATGAGTTAGGACCGAGTTGGTTAACTCATAGAGTAATTTCGGATAGGGTACACCGTCTGCTCGTCACGCTATCTTATTTTCGGCCGGATAGATTCGTGCAACTTCTTAGTCTAATACCGATCCTAATCTTACTCTTATACTATCTAGTCTCAGGTTGTTTAACTAGTCTCTGCTAGGCTCAATAGATCTAGGGTATACTGGTTTATTGCGGCTGCTGAAGTGCTCGGGAGAGTCCAACTAATTTCTAAGTTAAATTCAAATCTCTCTGGTGCTGAAATTACAAGTAACTTCAGCACTTACAAATAAGTGGGTTGTTAGTTAGATGGATCATGATTGGTTAATATTAAATACTTTACATTGGTAAAATATCTAAATTATCCAATCATAAAATGTAGTTTAGATCAGGTTCCAAAAGTTATTCTGGAATTTTTCAAGATTCTGGATCACATTTTGAACCAACGAGAAATGGAGATGAACTTTTTTTATTAGTTAGGAGAGAAATTTCAGCCAATCAAATTGAAACCATATAATCCCAAGATCACTCCATAAATCAAGTTTTAAATTTTATGGTTATAATTAGTTAACAAAAACAAATGTAAAAAAAACTTGACTACTTTGATTTTTTAACAAATTCTCCAAATCAAATATTTTCTTGAATTTTCTCCCTTTATTACTTTCACCGTTTTTTTGATAAAAAACTTAAAACGTTCGCTTTGAGGCTGAGAGTTTTTGTTTTTTTTTTGAGAAAACATGTTCAGAATGAAGTCAATTTTGTCTTACTCGGCGTGCTATTTTTGCGACTTATTCGAGGTTTTTTGAGCCCATTTAAAGCGATGCAGCATTATATTTTGTTCAGATCACTACACTAATTTCCTTAAGAGTTTTCTTTTCATAAATTTATTTCAAGATGTATGAATTGTCTTAGATGAACTGACAAGATGTTTTTGTAAAATTATAAATCTAAATTTTGAAGACCCGGACTGAACCTGAGTTTGCGTTGCGTGATGGTTTCTGGCCCGTCGAAGTCAGAGATCCAGATGTATATTCCGGAATTGATGCAGAAGCCGGGGTTGGTGATGGACCCAAACTGGCTGGCCCGAACTGACCCGAGCAGATAAGTCAGTTCACCCTCGATCAGCACCTGAATAGGAAAATCGTGAAAACCGGGGAAAAAAAACCTTAGAAAAGATTTCCAAGACATTCTTTTTGGTCTGTTTTATTTTTGTTGAATAGTTAGCCTGTGGCGCCGAAAAAAGAATGTTTTCAAGATATTTAAAAAATCTGGAAAATCAGCTTGGTCAATTTGAAAAACGTTGGAAGTCTTTAGAAGGCCTCTTCTCGAGAAAAACCTAGATCCGCTCGTGTTTCAAATCAACAAGGCTATTGTTATTGCTCAAGATGTTGGATGATGTTACTTCACTTCAAAACAGTTTGAACATACGAGTATTTCAAAACAGATACGAGTATTTTTTAACCCATTGTTTAACCTTCAATTATTAATTTTTTTGTTATTTTTCATTTTTGGCTTAATTAAATTTTTCTAAACTTAAATTTTCGTTAATTAAAACGTTTTGACTACAAGAACAAGGACCGACATAGGAGCTGTTCAGCTCATAACACCTACTGTTTAATGAACTACTTGCTACTTTTTTAAAATTATTTTCCCTTTTTTTCAGTTATTAACCTATTTTGTTCACACCTGTTTTGTGAGTAGGTTCTCCAGTGAGTCTATGGTGGGGAGGAATGCCTTCTGGAACAGATTGGGCGCTTGCCATTTGTACACTGGGTGTATGGTCCATGCACACTTGGATGGCCTTGAGGCATACTTCAAAGTCGTTTGTGGATCGCTCTCTGCCGCTGCCAGTGCTGCCATCGTTCTTTCTCTGTCCTGTTTCAGCAATCTTTCTAAATGTAAAACAGGAAAAAATCAATAAAAAGCTTGACAATAGTCAGTCCGAAGTCGAGATGCCTTTGCCGCTCAAAATAAACAGCCATAAAAAATGTCGAAAACCTCTTTAATCTGTATTTTTTCGCTCATGCTGAACTTTTAATTTCTGTTCTTTGCCCAGTCTGTCTAGACGCAAAAAAAAACGTAAATTTATTGCCTCAGCCGGCAAAAGAAACAGAAATTAGAAAATCAAACACACCATAATTCGTTTTTGTAGCTCAAGGTGGAACTTTTTCTTTTTTGCTTTTTCATTATTTTTCCATGTGTAGAAAACGAGAAATTTAGTAGTGCTTTATCCTAATTTAAATGGAATTAATATGCCTTCGCCGTGCAAAAAAAAAACCGATTAAAATTTTAAAAGCATCCATAGTCCGTGTTTTTGCTCAAGGTGGAATTTTTCTCTCTAATGTTTCATCATTTTATTAATGAAAAACGGAAGAAATGGTAGTGCTAGTGCCTAATCCTAAATATACGATGTTCAGATGGGCTCGCTACCCCAAAATTACAGCCTTTTTCTATAGTCGACACCTTTTGCTTAATGGGTGTGATATGCGTTGCGATATCAATTGAAAACAAGTTGTAATTCAATACTGTATTCTGAATATTGAATTTAGCTTTTTCTTTTCTTTTGTTTTGGTATTAGTTGCTGAGATCTAGAACAGTGTCGAAACTCTGAATCTCTCACTTAGTCTCGATGTCATCACACACTGTGACCTTGAGTATACCATAAAAGTAATAAGTAAGCACCGTAGGTTGGTCGTACATACATAAACAATTACTGCTACTGCAGTAGCGGTATGACACACCCCCCTCGGTAAAGGAAATAAATTATACAACATAAGTAGGCTAATTTATTTAAAAAGAGTTCAATGTACTCAGTTCCCAAGAAAGTTGCTGGGTTAATTGACGGTTTAGTTTATAGAGTTTTCAGTTTTCTTCCAGCTCTATTTCACAACTCGGGTTCCATTCCACTCCGTCATCTTGTGTAGCATACCCAAATTTTCGCATGAATAAGTGTCGTTCGAGCCGTCTTATTTTCGATTCCACCGGTCTATCGCTTCGTTCCTTGAAGTCTCTTAGTTGATTTCGACATTCCTGAACTGCTGCTTTCAGGAGTGCTCCCCCTGTCAGATTCTCTGATATCTCATTAATTGAGTGCTTTATCGGGTCACCAAAGCGTTTCGGTTCCTTGTTTTTCGTTTGCCTGGAACTTCGTCTGATACCCGACACTTCGGTATTCGACTCGTCCGAGAATCCTTGTGGTGGCTCGAATGTCGTATCATTCTCCGAAATTTGTTGTGGGTTTTCTCTAATTTCGTCTGCAACTCGCTGAACTCCTCATTTTAATAATTGATCTGCATATTTTTCCCACTCGGACGGTGCTAAATTTCGATTGTAGAATGTGTCGATTATGTCCTCTGGAGGTGTCTGGGAGTCAATACATTTGAATTTCGACCTCTGTTTTGATTTAGGTGTAGAGCTTGTCTGAGTTTTATGATCTAATTTTCCCGACTTTGAAGTAGCTTGCTCCTGCTCCGGATCGGCTGCCGTCGCAGTTTGGCTTGTCCCCTGTTGCTGCTTGTTTTGGTTTTTCTTTTCTTTCACTTTCTTCTCCGTCTTCTTTTTATCGCTTTCCTCTGTAGTTGAGCTTGGACCCGCCAGATTTGGTTTTGCCCTCTTAATTGCCAAGTTCAGGCCTCCCCCTGCTTCCGTGTCTTTTGAAGTCACTACTGTTTGGCTCTTTTGGAAACGATCTATGGGATTTGTCGCATCTGCGATCTCCATGTCTCGTTGCAGTTCTTCATCGGACCCTAACTCCTCCAGTAACTCGGGGGAACTGATCCTTAGAAACTTTTTCGTAGTTTCCGCCGATGGACTTTTACTCGCACTCCGCTGATTTTCCTGTGTCAGCACTGTTTTCGATTTTGCAATATCTGACTTCCGATAGATAGAGCCTGTAGACGTCTTGATCGTTGAGTCTGTTTTTGAAGCAATTTTCCCCTTTAATTGTTTTGTGAGTGCTTGTCCACTTTTTCTTAGCGGGTCCTTTCTAAGTATTGTCTTAGGCGGGGATTTACATTGATCTTCCACTTTGTCTTCAATAAATCCTTTCTCCAATGAGTATATCATCTCCTTTCGTAGGTCAAGATTTAGTAGTCCAGTCTCGTCCACTAGTCGTCTAAATCGTTTTTAGCCGCATCCCTTCTTTCGTTGTTCCAGCGGGCGTTTGCCTCCAACAGCTCCTTTAGGGCTTAAGTCTTCTCTTTATCCCTGTCCGATGTTAGTTGCTGCTTGTGCAGTGGGCTTGTATCCCTGCTGAGTTATCCTTTGCGTACTATTTTGAGGTTCTCTCTTGATTGGTCAATTCTGCGTGTCAATTGGGAAGCCGTCAGTGCTGAGCGTTCCAAGTGTTGTTTGTCTGAATAGTCAGAATTGTTTAAAAACCTTTCCCTCACAATTTTAGATTCCGTTTTCGGTAGTCTGCCAAAATGCGCTTGAAATGGGGATACTTGAATGGTTTTCTGCTTGTTCCACCGCAAATCTCTCCTTATAATACTAAGACCTAATTTGATCGATTTATTATTTTCTTCGAGCAACATCACCCCAGTCTTCTTTTTATAGTTTGGATTGTACGTTCTACCAAACCACAGCCTCGGTGGTCCCCCACCGGACTGAACTTTTGCTCGATATTGAGTTCCGAACAAAAAATTTTCAGCGTTTTCCCTTTAAAGCCTGAAAATTGATCCGAGCGAATTGATTCGGGAATCCCATGTGTGTCGATATACGATCTCAAGAATTTTACTGTACACTTCCCACTTGTAGATTTCGTAACCTTCACCGATGGAAATTTTGAAAATCGATCTATAGCTACTAAGAGGTAGATTTTTTTCCTTTTTGATTTTCTATGGGCCCCGCGTAATCTAATTGTACTTCCTGTCCCGGCTGCGTGAGCAGTGGCAGTGGTTTTGACGCGTTTTTCGAAATAAGATAATTTACATTCTTACCGTATCTGGTACAGCTACGGCACTCCTTGGCTAGATTAACAATGCTCCTAGCATAGCTTCTTGGCCTGGATGCCCTCGATGTATTCGTTTGAGAACAGCTTGTCTTAAATGGAGCGGGACCGCTAGCCAGTTATTCGCCAAAATGCAGTCGTCCTGCACTGCCATCTGTGACCACAGCGGATTCGTATAAGGTCCCATTAGTTCGAAGCCTTGTTTGTCCCCTCTTTCTATCACTCGTCTACGGCGGTCCATTCATGTGTCTTCGGTGGTTAATTCGGACAACAGACTTTTGTCAAACAATTTTGCCAAATTGTCCAGAGTCTCCTCTTGCTGTTGCTTCGGCAGTTTTAATTTTCCCAACGTCTTCGGCGGTTCAATTGCACACACTTCTTCTTCACTCTCAGCCTCTTCTGTGGTCGTCAGGTCCATTTCTATGACCTGCATCTCGCTTAATTTTCTTTCCGCCGATGCGGTTGGTTTGTGTATTGCTGAACTTTGTCCATATTCTGAGCTGCCCCTGACCTCCTCCGTGTGTGCCACCAATTCTCTATTGGGTCCTCGTATGTTTTCTTCTCCGCCAATTAGTTGCCAGAATGAAAGAAGTCTTTGATCTGCTTCTCGTTGTTGATCTGGTTCGAGCTGCCATTTCACTCGTGATGCCTGTCTAGTTTCACTGTCGGAGCTATCCCTATTTTTACGGCCTCCTCTTATGATTTTTCTTGTTCGCTGAACTGTCTCTGTGATTTCCTTCTCTTCTGAAAGTTCGTTTGCATTTGTCATTGAGCGGTTCCACTTTGGGTCAAGTAGGCTCTCTTCTCGTTCGTCGTTACGCCATTCCTGTGACGAATCCGACCACCAATCGTAGGATCTGTTTCTTGACATCTCGTTCCTTGAGTCTGTTTTTTTTCTTCTGAATTTCTACGCTGATTTTTCTACGATTTTCGATTTATTTGAGAATGACTGTTTATTGAGTTGAGTTGACAAAAAAGTGATCGGTGTATGTTGAACTGCTGTGTTGAGCTGTTTTTGCAGTCGTGGAAACTGTTTTCTCTCGTTCCAGTCGAGCTTTTTTCGTTTTTGACCCATTTGGTTGCTATAGCAACCATTACTTGATGACTGTTTCTTTGCATTCCTTCTAGAACATTCTAGAACGTTTTCGTTCCGGTCGAGCGACCCAGTTTCTTTGAGCCTACTGTTCATGCAGTCTAATGCTTCATGAAAGGAGTTTATTGTCGCCACTACAAACTTTTCGTCTAATTCTGATTCGGGCCAGGGATCATTGTAGGGATCACGCGATAAATATTCAACTTTACCCATGTCCCTCCCCGGAATGTGAACTATTTTAAACTGATATGGCAATAACCGGTCAACCCACCGGGTCAAACGGGATTGATAGGTCTTATTTGACTTGTTACCATCTAACGCTTATGTAAGCGCCTTATGATCTGTTGCGATGATAAATGGTTTTGCCAAAAGGTAGTGTTTGTATCTGTCTACTGCCCAAATAACTGCCAATAACTCCAGTTCATTTGTTGATTTTTTTTTTTTAGACATTCAGATATCGGGATGCGAATGAAATTGGAACCCACAGGCCTTCATCATCGTGCTGTTCCAATGTAGCCCCTAGCCCCTCATGGCTCGCATTACATTCAACTCGTGTTTCTCGGGTAGCATCGTAATAATATACTTTTGTTATATTTGTCACAGCTTCTTTTATAGTATTAAATACTACCGTGTGTTCATACCCCCACTCAAACGTTTTGACCGGGAGTTTCATGTTTCTTAGTTTTTTCTTTTGATTTTCTTCTTTAAGAAGTGGTCTCAATTTCTTATTCAGGCTTGCTGCGTTAGGTATAAATTTAGCTAATGATTTATACTTCCCAGAAATGACCTTAACTGCTTAAGCAATTTCGGCGGGTTCAGATTTACAATTGCTTCCGTTTTAGTGATTTTAGGTCTAACCCCTACTTCTGAGAGGTGATGACCTAACCAATTCACTTCTTGTTTGAAAAATTCACACTTTGATAATTTCAATGCCAAATTTTCCGCATCCAATTTCTTTAGTACTGCTTCCACCAGATTTCCATGTTCAATTTCATTTCCTTTTGACACAATAAGTATGTCATCCAGAAAACAGAATGTGTTTTTAGCGTGATTGATAATCCTATCCATATCCTTTTGAAATTCAGCTGGCATATCCGCTAAACCATAGAACCCTGTCAGAAATCTGTATGTTCCGGTTGCTTTCCCACCGACAATGTTAAATTTGCATTGTTTAGCTGTATCGGCAGCCAATTTTAATTGACTGTACGCATATTTCAAATCTAACACCGTGAAATATAGAGTACCATTTTTGTTTTTGGCAACAATTTGGCTCACATCATCGATGAATTCATCTACATTCGGCATTTGATATTTGTTTTTGAACAATTGTCTTTTAATTGGTTACGCGTCCATGGCCAATTTTATTGAGTCGTCTTTTTTTACTGTTATCACAATCGGAGCGATAAAGCAATCACTTGTACATTTGTCGAGTTTTGTTATATGACCTTCTGTCCACAATTTATCGATTTCTTTTTCAACTTTATCTTGTATGTGAATTGGGATTCTTCTCCCCTTTTCTTGAATTGGACATAGTGGATAGTTAAATTTTGAATTTACATTGTGATTTTTTGAAATTCCTTGTCTATCAAATAAGTTTTTAAATTTAGTGAAAAATTTTTCTTTCCAACCTTCTGACTGCTCGCACATGAGCACGTCAAACCTGGTGAGTTCCTTTGGCGCTGGTTTTTGTGTAGTAACTATTCCCACTTGTCTTTGCAGGTCTAGTCCCATGATGCATCTGGTTTTACGTTCTGATACCAGAAAGGTAGCGCCTTTTACCTCCCAGCCTGCCGACCGAAGATTAGTCTTAAGGGCTCCCAGTATACTGATCGGTTGTTTGTTGTAATCAACGAATTTTGTTTGTAAGTTCAGTTTTCCTGACGGAATGAATCTCACTTTGCTTGATTTATCCATAATTTCCATCGGCGTCGCCCAATTGAGAAATGAAACTGGACTTCCCGTGTCCACTGTTAGTTGTATTATTTGGTTGTCAATTCGTACCATGGCCTTTATTGACTTTACTCGTTTCAATGTTGGATCTCAATCAAATCTATTTTCTGAACTCGTATCGTTTCAGCATTTGAATTGTTCCTCATGTCATTAATTCGATCTTTCACATTTTTCGAAACTCTCTCGTTTTCCGGTTGATAGGTTTGTATCGACATAACTTCAAACTCACTACATGACTCAACACTTTCACTTATCTGATCGCATTCCTCTACAGATCCTTCCGAGTCTTCCGCAACTTCGCTTACTTGTTGAGATCTGCACATTTTTGCAAAGTGATTGGGTTTGCCACAGTTCTTACAAGTTTTTCCCATCGCTGCACAATTTTTTAGATGTCCTTGGTCGAATGTCCTTCCACATCTGTTAAATGGTTTTGTTTTCATGTTGTGATTTTTGTCATTATTTTGCTTTTTGTTCGATTCCTCTCTGTTTTGATTTTTTGTTGTCCCTAACAAATTTCGAACTGCCATTACAGGTTCTTGTTTTAATCTCACACCCGAGGTGTGATTGTTACTTGATCCTCCTGTAGCCGCCGCATTTGTCTTTTGGAACGCCATTGTGGTTAACTTGCTATTTTCGAACTTTATCGCCCTTTTCGGAACCTCTTCCGGGTCTAACGTCTCGAATGTCAGCGTGTCCTGCAACGTCATATTCTTCATTTTTGAAATAAATAGATCACGGACTATTTCATTTTCCAATGTTCCCAGTTCTGATCGGGCTGCTTGCGCAGTTAGCGCTGCGTGAAATGATTCCAGAGATTCTCCAGCTTCTTGCATTCTCGTAAATAGCTTGTATCTTTCATACGTTACACATTTCACCTTTTGAAACGAAACTTCTGCCAGTTCTGTAATTTCCCTGAACGTCATTTTCGATATTTCAGCATGTGGGTTCTTCTGTATGAATCGTTTTTTCCTTCTGTACCCAAAGACAAAAATAATCTGGACACCAACTTCTTTTGTACTTCGTTGTAGAAAACCTTGTGTCCGACTCGTGGGCCCCTTGTCCTTCTTTCTTCATTCTCCACAATACTCTATCCGTTGCTAGTTTGTCTCTAAGGGTCCTCGCATTCCTTGCATCTTCATTCTCTCCTTCTCAGGGTGTTTCTGGTCGAGGTGGTGGATCCTCTAGTATGTCTTTTGGTTCTTTCAAAATAATCTCTGGGTTCACATTTTCTTTAACCGTAACCGCCATAAGAAATTGTTCGAACCAGATTTTGAACTGCCATGGAGGATCTAGATTCGCTGACGCCCAAAATACCCGGATTCCCATATCCGTTCTGTTATCTTGAGCTGCGAATCCTGCCGACTGCGCCATGTGATATGCGTTGCGATATCAATTGAAAATAAGTTGTAATTCAATACTGTATTCTGAATATTGAATTTAGCTTTTTCTTTTCTTTTGTTTTGGTATTAGTTGCTGAGATCTAGAACAGTGTCGAAACTCTGAATCTATCACTTAGTCTCAATGTCATCACACACTGTGACCTTGAGTATACCATAAATTTAATAAGTAAGCACCGTAGGTTGGTCGTACATACATAAACAATTACTGCTACTGCAGTAGCGGTATGACAATGGGGAATCTTTTCTCTCTCTTGCTTCATCAATTTGTATTCATACAAAAACACGGACAATTGAGTGACTTTGCCGCGCACAAACGGAGGTTAGAAGATAAAACCTATAATTATTCGAAATTTTTACCAGAGGCGAATTCTTTTCATTCTTCTGTCTCATCACTTGTTCTAGATACAAAACACAGAAAATCAAAAGTACATTATGCTAAAAAAAACGATGTTGAAAACACGAAAATCAGATGCAAAAACAGGTAGCATTAAAAAAAACGCTTAACCAATGATGGAACAGCCGTTTCCCATTGAAACATCAACATCAGATAACTAATCTTGGTAATGCGATTCGGTGGCATTATGAACCAGCTGAAAACACGTACTTGTTATATAATATTTATGTAACAGTTACAAAGTTCGTGCAAATTGCATTCATAGGATGTAACTTTTCGACTGGCTTTTTTAATCGGCGCATTTTTAGGTTGGCTCATACTTCGGCTGGTGTATTTACTATCATGCGATTCATCCATAATTGCAACAAGTTCAAGTTGAAGTAACTAAATTAAGCCTTCAAAGCGACAAAAAAAACATGTTATTTGAACTGTACGCCAACAATAAGCTTTCTTTCTTTGTTACCTTGCTGTTTGACATCTACTCTTTTATCAGTCTCGAAAACAGGAGCGGAGGAGGTTGAAGTTTTCTTCGGGGGTCTGACTTTCTTCTTGCCAACATCCCCGTCCCCACCTTTGACCCCTCCCCGTACCCCTCCCCCGGAGATGGTCGATCGAGTCTCATTCTCATCTGTATTTAATGTCGAAAATGTAAATAATAGTTAAGATAGACCAATTGTTTCAATCAAACGCTCATTGGCGAAAAAAGATGCTATTTGTTTCACACTCAGACAAGGGCAGATCTAGGATTTTCTACAAAAATTTCGTAAATTTCTTCGACTTTTTTCTTTTAGGTTGACCAAATTGATTTTCTGAGTTGTTACTAACCACTAAATAAAAGACCTCGTTTAGACCAAAACAAATTTTCTGCGTAACAAGCAAAATTTTTAAAAAATTGTGCCAAAAAACGTTGTTAGGCAGAATCTCTGAGTATCAATTGGACAATAGCAAGATTTGCACTCTTAAAACACTACGAAATTTCAAATACTGGTTATCGCATTGATTGTCTACCAAAGTTGCAAGGCCACCTGCATTGTTTTACATTGTACTATAGAGAATTGCCAAAGTGCGGAAGTTGAAACATGCAAAATTAACTGAAAAAAAAAACGAATGACTAAATTCCATATAACAGCCAACTTTTTAAACAGAGCTTACGTGTTACGGTTGCCTTAAAATACGGCAAAGTTCTCATTTTTATTAATAAATATTAAATTATAATCCATTCATTTTGCAGCTGTATACGCCACGAAAAAAAAACCAAAAAGTCCATTTAACTAGTGTCGCAAAAGCAGTTTTTCATTATGAGCTGAACAGTTCTTATGTTGGTCCGTTCCCTTTTGGTTAAATGGCGGACCTCGTTAACTTTACCCCCCCCCCCCCCCCCCCCGTGCCTAGCTAGTGGGGGGGCGGGGGGATGGGTTAGTTAAAGAGTTCTTATATGGCCTCACCAAGTACACCACTGGTCGACACTTTGTCTAATTGGGGTATGAATGCAGAAGATGACGTGCTGGACTTCTTGCGGGAGGGGGATTCGCTGGTGGGTGTGGACTTGTAGGCACTGCTGCTCGATTTGGTCGATATCACAATCGAGTTGTGGTCCACACGTCTGTAAAAAAAAAAACCAACGAAATTTCATTTTTCTTGGATCAAATAATTATACCTTCATCAATGGTTTTATTGAAGGGTGACTCTCAGGTTTGAGATCCGCGTTTTATGTCCAAGCTTTCCAAACCAAGTTTGGCAGCTCCAGATTTCGCGACCAGAAACTGGAATTTCCAGAATTTCTCTCTTAAATTTTGATTTTTCAGTCTTATGCAAACAGGGCGGAGATGGCGCGACCAGACCTATATGTTGAGCTTTGCTTTTTATGTTAAGAATTTTGTCATTAAGAGAATCTGTCGCAAATTTAGCGACAAGTGTTGGCACTGCGCTACCAGTGCGGTTTTGCGACTAATATTATGTGTCAAAACTTTCCTGGCCTTGTGAAGTGTCCTTAATTTGTATTATTGTTCCGACTTTCGAAGAAAATGGAATATTTATGCTCGGTGTGGTTTTTTTATTCAATCAATTTTCACCGATCGAAATAATAGTTTTCAACAGAAATTTTTTTATACCCCATTGAAGATATTGACTCCCTGAGTTCAAATGTAAAAAGATATTTCACCTCCGATTACTTTTTGTTATATTCTGGGGGTTTGAAAATTGCCAAAATGGCCATGTTTTGGACTAAATTATGCTCTCTTTGAAGAATTTATTCATAATGCTGGGAGCGTAACGCGAATTTTTTATGCGTGGCGAATTATCCCTCACTACAAACTCGTTCCAAATTGAATTGGAGCTAGCTAATTGTTCGTATTATTTTCGTACGACTCGAAACTTTACACTGATGTTGGCCAAAATTTACAGCTTTTCAATACTTTTTTCCTAAAAACTATTTGATATGAATTAAGGGACAGTCGGAACATTCAGGGCTTAGCCTTAATTACGAGCTGTCTTGTTATCTTGCAGTACTGCTATGCTACCACACACAACAACCAACAAGTTGATGTAACTGCAGTGATGTCTTAAACAAATACCTGTCAAAAGCGATGTAGCTTTTGGACCACAATTGCTCATTTGTTAGTTATTGTTTTATAGTTCAGACCATTGATAAATCAATTTATCTTTCAACTCTGTTGTATCTCTGAGTGTAACTCTAAGTTTTAACAGAGAGGCGAAGCTGCGCTTTGCGAACACTTGCTAGAACACGATTAAAAACAGCTCAATCAAATCACATAAGAAAAAGTAGAAAAAGCCTCGAATTTGCAAAAACTCGAGGCTTAGCAAAAACTCAAATTAGCAAAAGTCTGCAAGTTTGAGTCTGACGCACTAACCATTCAGCCACGGATGCTTACAATCCCAGAAAACTAGCCACTAATAACGCAGCTAACAATGCTAAGAAACTGCCAATTCGATGCAGCAAAAGTAGCATCAAATTCAAAAAGATACAATTTTACATGTAGTAAATCGCAAATCATAAGCCACATTATGTATAAATTATGCAGTTGTAAAAACTGCGAGACATATTGAGCTAGAAAAATGCTGAAATCGAGATTTTAGTATTGTTTTGTTGTTTGAAACAAATAGCGATTTTATGTCAGACTCAAGATTTTATGTCTGACTTTTTCGGCTTAAAATCTGGTCGAGCTGATGAAAGTTGTGCTTGGAGTTCACAGAGAAGCTATTCAAAGTCTGAAAAAAATTCGGTTACCTCATTGCGGAGTCAACGGGCCACCGGTAGGAGCCGAGAGCTTTTTTTGGACTCTATAATTGAGATTAAAATATTGTAACAAAAGCACACTCAATGAGCTTTTCTTATATTTTTCATTTTCAATTATCTGTACGCATTTCATTAAAAAAAGGGTTGATTTATAAGAACTTTTCAAAATTTGCATCACCAAAAAAGTCTTCACAAACTTTTATGTCGCGATTCAATTAGTTAAAGAATTTCAAAACATGTTAAGAAGATCTAGAACACTTGATGAGTTTTGATAAAACTCGTTTCCCATGGCCGATTATTTCTACAAATGTTGTTTAAAATAATATTTTAATTTTTTTTCCAACAGTGGTAATTGCTCCTATATTCAACGACAGTAATGATATATTTTCGAAGACAGTAACGATATAAATGCTTGTTGGGGTATTTTTTCAGATCAATTCCAGCAATTGAAAGCAATTTTTAAAAATCGAGCTCTAATAAAAGAATGGAGATGTCAACATGTCAACGCCCTGAAAGTATGAGGGTTTTGGGCTAATTCGTAATAATAGTTCCCTATGGAAGACTAGGACTAGCTATGGGGCAATCGAAACATTCGGAGCCTACTTTCGATAACAAAGCATTCTTGTTTTTTTATCTGCTCTTTTATATTTCAAAAATCCAAAAGCAAAAAACTTTCATAGCATATACAATTTGAATGTAAAATTATTCGGCGACGAACTTGTATTGTTTGCAATTGTATGGATCGCCACGTAATCAAACAAAGTCCTCTAACAAATTGCACTAGTGTTAGAAATTGCTGAAAACATCCGAAAAAAAAACAACGAAAACTTTCGCTTCAGCCACAAATAATAAAGTTTTTTTTAATGAAAATAAAAGTAAAATTTCAACATTATAAAAATAGTTAAACTTCTAATTCAGACCAATTTTCATTCAATTTTCAAGAATAGTTTCCGGGAAAAAAATCATACGCTCTCAAACTAACTTTTTGAGCAGTTAGAGCTAAAAAGACTCAGAGCACATCATCAATAACTGAAGCTTGTTCGAAAAAACAACTTCCAATCATGACTGAAGAGAAAGTTTTTTTTTGTTTCACAGCCAGCATATAAGCAAACAAACTTTGTTTTATTTGAGCCGAAACAATTACGACAAATCACCGAAACAATTACGAGCAACTACAAAATATAGAAGAAACTGCATCACGAACAAACAAAAAATTTTGTCCAACTATTTCTCATATGTTTTTCACAGCAAACTCATTAAGAGTCAGTAACAGAGATACGTTCTCATAAAAACTTATAATTACATAGAGATTCAAAGTAGAATTTCCGATGCTGCATGCTGCTGGCCACGTTCCGTAGAGTTCTCAAAAACTTTGTCTGCTGTGAAACATTTGAATCAAGCGGTATTTGATCAATATACGAACTGCTCAAATAATTCTTGTAATTCACTCTTTTCAAAAATCATAAGTAGAGCAAACAATGCTGCTGATATCAAGGCGACTTTTAATTTATTTGGTGTAGTGTTCAAAAAATTGAAAAGTTTTCCACAAAAAAAAAGAAAAAATCAATATTTTTGCTGAAGAAAAAATTTACGCTATATAAAATTTATAGAAGACATTTTTATCGCACTTCAACGTAATAGACAAACCAATTAGCGAGCAGTATGTTGGAACCAGTTTTGATTCGGATTAATAGCAGGAGGTATATCGCGCGTTAGTTATCTTAAAATGGCATTTTGGAACCCACTTATTTTTGCCAAAGCTGATCTCAACTGAAATTTCCTTTTAACTTTGAGCTCGGTTCAGCAATAATTTCCAACTTATATTTCTTAATACGTCCAAAATGACAAACTACAAGTAGAAAATTTGTCTTGAGAAACACAAACACCGCGAGCATAAATACTCCGTCGTTTTCTTTGAAAATTGGAAGTAAAATACATGGGTTTAACTCTTACCCCGGGTTGACCAAAAATGCTAGTCATACAATTTTCATATATGGAAAAATGCTAATAAGTAAAAAAAATTGCATGAAAAGTCTATGACTAGTGTTTTTTCATATATGGAAAAAGTATGACTAGCATTTTTCCATAAACCAAAAATATTGATTTTTTACATTTTAATTTCTGAAAATTTTTTTGGTTGCGTTCGTAACCGAACACAACTGACATACAGTTTGGTTACCCAAACGAAGTAACCAAAGGTTTGGCCGTCTCGCATTGCAAATGAATTGAAAACAGCCTGAAATGTCAGAGTTTCAGAGAAAACAGCCTGAAATATCAGAGAAAACAGCCTGAAAGATAGTTTTGTCTAAAATTTGATTTTTTAAATTACCAGACATTGATCAAGGCATACAAAAACATGTCATACAAAAGAAAGAGAAGTTTTAAGCGTTTTTGAAAAAAGTTATGGAGAGAAAAGGAAAAAAAATCCAATTTTATTATATACAGGAATACGTTATACACATAAAAAGTTAAATTTTTCATGCAATTTTTTTTTCAAAAAACGTTTGTTTGAGTACGAAAATCAATTTGCGGTTAAAAAAAAACACAAAAAAAATTTGGAGGCAGTTTCAAAAATACTTTTGTCGAAAAATTTTTGTCGTCGCCATCAAAAAATGCTAGTCATACATTTTCCATATATGGAAATTGTATGATTCGCATTTTTTTGACAAAAAGTTTTTCTTTTTTTATTTAGTACGATACAGGAAACTTTATGCCAAAACAAGAGAAAAGTTTGTCGAAAATTCGACAAAACCATTCAAACAAAATGTATGAAATTGTATGAATAGCATTTTTGGTCTATAGAGGTCAACCCGGGACGCTGTTAAAAACGGTTCAGTGTTGTTGTTAACTACCGGATACAATCAGTGTACAATAACCTCATCAGAATATACCATCCAAAGGGCAAACTTTTATTGAGTTTCAAAATAGTCAACTGAATCTATGTAACAGCAACCTGTTACTATTTCCAGAAACGGGTTTTCAAAATGCCTAGCTCATAAAACAGCCGGATGAAGTTAACATCCTCACTCGGTAACTCCTTCGGTTTCAGAGTTTTCAGCCAATCAGAATAGAGTAATTTTCCTTGAGCGCTGAACAGTTTTAACATAAATATAAAAAAGTAGAAGATTTTACTTAGACGAATCAGGGAGAGGATTTTAACCTCCTGGTTCAATCAAGGGCCTTAAGAATACAAAAAAGCCCAAATTTTATTTTTCAAGGGCCTTATATTTAAGGTTCAATCAAGGGCCCTAAAATACAAAAAAAAACCCAAAACTTATAATTATTTGTTAAAAAGTCGAACAACTACCACAGTTTGTAGCTTCAAAAACCTGATCGAGATTAGATTTCACCATGTTTCGATGAAAATCCAAAAAAGGAAGGCCAAGAAAGAGCGTCAAACAGAGACAAAATTTTGAACCAACGATTTGAAGGGTCGTTTGGGCATAAGGGGGTTGTCCCTGAGGGGGGAGTCCTTGTGCACGAGATCTACATCTGGCATCCCTGTCTTCTGCAACACTCTTGCCCTCATTTGCTTCCTGGCCGCATCCATCTGAAAATATTTTTTTCCACCATTTTGGTTGTTTAATCATTTATTACTACAGAAAATCGGTCTTCAAAAATCAATCCTCTATAATTGTTCAAAGTCTTGTTTCTTGATCAATTTTTTTTAGTATTCGCTTCATCAGATAGCTATCAGTTTTCATGCGTGATGACACAACACAAGTTCTATGTCATTTCACTTACTTTTTCTCAAAAGATTAAAACGCATTGATTGAGTATTGAATATTAAACAATTCTTTTAGCTAGTTCAAGCGCGGTACAAAAAGCAATTTCATTGTTTCCGTGAATTGTTTTCACTTTGTCCAAAAAAAGTCAGTTCTTTTTAATTATTTTATGACTTATTTGAAATTCATCTCAATTTTTTGAAAGTTGAAAAATTTTTCATACCTGATCAGTGGCGGTCCATTCCGACTCGTGGTTTTGTGAGGAGGAGGGATTAAAATTGAGAGACCATCCTCCTCGACTGTTCTTCCCCCGGCCCCCCGCAGTCTCAATCAGCAACCCCCCGTCTCTAGTGGTGAACACTCTAGTCGATGATTTGCGCTGGGGTCGCTGAAACTCAATATAGTATTTCCTGTATCGAAGTGCTTTATGTTTCGACTTTCAAAGTCAGGCACAAAATCAATATTCAATACAAAATACAGGATTTTGGGTCGGACGCAAGCTCGAAGCATACCACAAACATCGTCAAAACTTATCTATCTTGGTTCTAGCAGATTTTTTTGGCCGAGAAAGTCGAAACATACCTGTTTTTAGTCGAGATGGTCAAGGAATACATAATTTCTATCGAGATGAGCGAACAATAAAATGAACACCCCCCACCGAGTCTTTTATTGACGAAAATAGTTTTTTCTTTATATCAAACATTTTTAGTAGAAAAATATTAAAATCTCGTTTGGCTTAAATCGATAATTGTTTCAATTTTGTTGCGATCTTGTGTTTTACTCTCTTAATTTGAACTCTAGTTACTAACTAGATACCTGTTAGTTGTGTCTTAACCGAAGTCCATTGGACTTTGGGCAACTTACTGATTCAAAAGTCGAGTTTAATTCAAACGCATTCAATTTTATTCTTTGATTTCTAGCTTAGTTAGCTTTAGTACACTAGTGGTGTTTGAACAGTTTTTATTATGGCGGAGTCAATTGATTCGAGTCTGTGGGCAATTCCCGTCTTTTGGCCCTGCTATACTGTAGAACCGCCCGCCCAATTTGGATTGATCAGTTCCGCTTGGCCATCATTACCAAGCGATTTTAGATATAGACAATTTTAAAGAGGCATTGGAGTCGGAGACAAAAAAAATCAGTTTTTAGGGCGCCCAAGATTCAGAAAAAGATTCAAAGAGGAAAACCAGGGAGGGCAGGAACAAACAAAAAACTAATGCAAGTTTATGAAAACGGGGGGACAGAAGAATTGCGGAGGAAAAACAAAAATCCTGTAGAATTCGTTGAACCAGCGAACATCACTTTTGAACGATAAAAAAAAATTTTGAGCCGAAAACAAAAGGACAGGAAGTCCAATGAACAATTTTGGGGAGCACTCTCGGAATTAGGTACAACTTGCGAAATAGGAATAAACACAGAACAAGAGTGGATAGATCTTCAACATGAGAGATGTATTCATCTTCAACAAGATGAACTGCAACCTCCAACGGAGACTCCTGTCAGAAACTTTAAATTCATTGAAAGCACTCAATCAGGACTTTTTTGACGAGAAGGGATATAATAATCGTCTTTAATTAAGCAGTTTGACGAGGGCTAACCAAAACAAAAACTGCAAGATGTTTAAAACTTTTAATTCTGTAGATAAATGAACGAAGCCTGAACAGAGAAAAACCAAACTCGTGTCTGAAATGTGGAAACTTTTTTACCGAAGAGCATTTAAACGTATGCCCGGCAAAGGAAATAACTTGTAATATACGTAAATACGAAGGACATTATGGAAGACTTTGTAAATGTAAGGCGAGAAAACCAGTTGTAAATATTGTAGACGAAATTGTGCAAAAAAAGATTTGTCAATATTCTCCAATAGAAACGCAATCAAGTCAAGAAGAAAAAATTTGTGGGGTCACAAATGCTTGGTCAGAAGAGGGAATTAGTGACCATGATGACTATTCTGTAGTGAACTTAAGAACAATCTACTACGACAACCGTTTAGAAACGAAGAAACTTGAAAAAATCGGTATACGCGACGACCCAATTGTAAATATGGATGATTCTGTGGATTTGGCCAAACCAGAATGTGCTCTACGAGCTAATACTCAGAGACCCACAGTTGAAAATTCTACCCTTAGACATGAAACTCAGGCATTATACTGCGGCATTATACTGCGGCTTTGCCAACAACACGGTAAATATAATCGGAAAGATCATAGTTAGAATGCAACCCAATGGCTGGATGTCAAACAATAACCCAATTTTTGATCACGCTCGGAATGAGAGAAACATCTTGGGTAAAAACAACTTGCCCGAGGCAACCTCTCCTTGCAGCTAACAACGTCTCCCAGCCGGATACCTGTAAGTCAAACGTTCACTTGAATACAAATTTTAACCTGCACAAGCAATTCAAAAGATTTCTTAGAAGAGTATGGAGAAAACCATTGGATGGAAAGATCACGCGTTTTCACACACCCTTTAAACCAACCCAAACCAAGGGTAGGAAAGTCCCATTGCATTTATAAGACAGCGTAAGTTTGAACTGAAAAGTATGGAGAACGAAGGGCACAACGTAAAATCAGACAAATGTGATGGAGATTGTTTTTATAAACTCGGTAGTGATTAAAAGAAAGAAAGATGATGACATAAAATTAACATTTGACTCTAAATTGTTAAGCGATCAGACGTTTAAAAATAAAAATCAGATTCCGAATATATAGGAACTCATCGTTGATGTCGCTTTACAACTCAACTCTCAAAAAAAGAATCAGGTGACGTGTTGTTTATTAGCTTGGACTTGACAAATGCCTGCAGCCAGTTAAAATTATGCAATAACAGGAACAAATATTGTAATTTTGGCGCAGTGCTTGTCAAAACTACTGGAATCTATCGTTTTTAACGGTAATGTATGGCTTGGGAGACATGCCAGTATCTTAATCGCTTCAAAAGGTTCATTGGAAAAGCATAAATTCATCCTGTGGAGAACTTTGAATATCTTAGAGAGCAAAAACTTGGCAGTAAAGTGGGAAAAATGTTCCTGTTTCCGAAAAAAATAGAACTTTCATCAAACTTTCTTAACTGACGAATCTTATTCCTCTTTTCTGATACCATCAATAGATTATTCCTTATAAAACGTAACCCGCGAAGAGAAGATAAATCCGAGTTATTCGTTTTTCAAGCATCAGTAAATTCTCTAAAATTACCAGTAATTTTAGACAAAAAAGATAGTAGTAAGGTTCGTAAACAATAATCTGTCACAAATTCACCGAAAAACTACTAATAAAATACAAGGGAGTGTTAAAGTTACCATGATCTACGATATTAATAAATTATAATTGCCCAAAAAAGTTATCATTTCTGATGACCATCGAGAAAAAAACAGTGGCAGAAGTCAAGAAAGCATTAGAAGGCGAAAAACAACTGCATGAATTCGGTGCATTCTTGAAGACTTTCCAACGGGACATCCACATGAAGGAAAAACTCCTCTTTAAAGACAACAAATTGATTGTCCCAGCTGCCCTCCAATCTCCGTCCATGACCTTCTTTCACGAAACACATCCAAAAGTTCGACATGAAGGAATTGGTAAAAATCATGTGGTGGCCAACACCTATACCGGCAAGTTTACCTTCACGGCACAAACTGCGCGCAATGTATGAAAACCGGTAAGAAGTTAAAAGTAATTTTGGGATCGAGTAATACGCAGAAACTAGCGGACTTGTAGAAGCCCAATGAAGAAATAAACCGGGATTTTGCCGATCCAGTGGATAAAAACTGGGGCAATTAAACATATTTATTATTTTGCATCGATAGATTCTCTAAATTTCTCTCGACGAGAAGAGTAAAATGTACGTCTACGTCCTCAACAATCATATTTTTGACTGACTGCTGCAAGGCAGATGGAATTTCGAAAACAATTAGAATAGACCATGGATCGTGTTTTCTTTCAAACGATCGTAAGTTTTCTACGAGAATAATAACTTTAACATAGTTGTATGTACAGTCGAGGATCATAGATTCACTGGAGTCGTAGAACGTCTAATTTACAGTGTAAAAGCGAATTCAACGCCCAAGTTGTTCAACGACCTCAAACCAACACTAATTTCTGCGATTGATAAAAACATCTGGAACCTTTGTTCAACAAAGCAACCCTCCATTGGACGTACAACCTTCTTAAAACACTTTGATAGATTTTCTGGAAAATTTTTTTTCAACCTCGATCAGTTTAGATAAAAAAGTCGATTATGTCAAAGAAAAGAGTCTAGGTTTGGGAATTGACGACACAGAAGATGGCTGTTCGGAAAATTTTGAACCTGACAACAAAGGTTACGAGAGCGACCCGACGGAAAAGTCGACGTAAATTGCACCTAAAGCCCCCTTGTCAAACCCCTCGCCCATGGAGGTAACTATTTTTAAAAAATCAATAGTAGAAAAGAAGGCCAAACCTATTTTAAACTTGGTGCGAAAGCTAATTCCGATACTAAACATACTGTAACTCGATAGTGGTCATATCTTCAGGAAATCAGACCTAGCCTTCAAGAAAAATTATCCAATAGCTGAAATTAATTTACCAGCAAAGCGAATACCATAGTTAATACTGATGGGTTAGCAGGAAATAGAAAGATAAATCTCCTTACAAGAGACTGGTTTCGAATACAGCTGGACATCCTCATCTGGACGAGCATTGGGTTCAACTCCTTCGAAAAGGCTAAAAATGGATGTAACCAACCCTAAAAGATTTTATTATGCTACTTCAGAGTCGGCGTCGTGTTTAGATTTAGAACACTGGGACATCTTAGACGATTTGTGAAAATTCAATTTCTGTAAAGAGTTTGCCCAGTAAATCCGATGAAATAGCTAGGGCTACCTCGTCTTGCAGCAATTTAAGACCATGAAGAAACCCAGGGACTCCCAAGTTTTATGGAGAAAGAAGATTTATCGGACAAGTGTCTCCATTGGCAGCGGTGAAAACTGCGGAGGAATCAGAAGAAGAGTCGCTAACTTCCTTCGTTATCTCGCACAGGTACTGAGCGGTAAATACAACCGAGTAGCCTTCAGCTTTTTTGGCACCAATGGTATAGTTCCAATCGAAACCAACTTTGGTCGCTGAAACTACGCAATGCTCTCACTCAACCGCATTATCATTGGACCAGAAACTAGTGGTCTTAGAATCCCCTACCTTTGAAGCTGAGATCGAAGACAAGGGCCAGAATATCAATTTTTCTTCCATAATTGACACGGAAACTAGAATCGAGGCGAACATTTTTCATAAGAACTTAAATACCATCGAATAAAACTTTTCAAACTTAAAATTAGTCTATTTTATCATTTATTTGTAGTATACCATTGGCCCTATCCTCAACCCCATGTGCTTCAATTTAGGAACTATATTTTGTTTCAGATCCCGTCGGGCATAGTAGCGGTGTTTATTTCCTTTTCTAAAAAAAACTAAACATTTTCATTTGCAACCTTTATCTCGTGGGTTTATAATCTATATGTCCCCAATTGTACATTTAAAATTCTGAAGTTTGTTATCTCTGTGTCGATCTGTAATGAATTGTATGTAATCTGTAAATTGTGATACCATACTCATCTCCATTTACACTTGTATATTCTCTTGTAATTGAATGGTCTTACTGTAATTTAGATACTTTTTGTTTGGAGTCCCGTGGGGTGAAAAAAGACTGGAGTATGTTTGTGATTTGGCTACTTTTTCATATTCTCAGATATAAACTTTTCCTGCATTAGGGAATGTTGTGATCTTGTGTTTTGTTCTCTTAGTTTGACCTCTAGTTACTAATTAGGTACCTGTTAGTTGCTTCTTAACCAAAGTCCAAAAGTTTCGCGCCGCTTGATGATCTATTTAGACAAGTCAGTTTTAAATAAAACACATTCAATTTTGTTCTTTTAGTTTCAATATAGCTAACTTTAGTATACTAGTGGTATTTAAACACTTCTTGTTGAGTTCATTTGTTAATTTCAGAAATGAAGAGTTCAAAAGAACAATTTGAGTAGCTTCAGATTTTTCAAAAATGATTTAGATCACCCAATTCCCTCCCCCCCCCCCCCAGAAGAAACTCCATTTGCATCCTCTACCCCGCTATTTAGCTTAGACTAAAACTACTCAGCGCTGTCTGGAAAATGATATTTGATTCTGATTTACTCTAAACTTTGAATCCAGCTCACATCTTCTCCGAAACCTTTTAAAGAAGGCCGTTATTTTGGACGACAGTTAGTATGAGTCGAAGATAACGAACCCGGTTCCTCCTCCGGTTGTTATTGCTTGACGAGTCTGGTTTCTTCTCTTCATTATCTGTTTTGTTCTCGTCTATTGGCTGAAGCTCAGTCACAGACCGACTGAAAACAGCCTCACGCAACTTCTTCCACATGACAAAACTCACCTAACCGAAAAATTTTTAAGGAAAACAAACACCAAAGAATTTAGTTAGCGATAAACAAATAAACGCAGAAGGGAGTGAAAATAATACTAGTTGAGACTTAAATGCCATATAAAATTGATTCAGTAATCTATCAGTCAAAATATCTGAATAATTTTTTTAAACTAAACTGTTTTTTGAGAATTTTGAGAATCGAGAATTTTGTTTGAGAAAAAATAAATGATGTAAGTTTTTTTGTTATTTAGTGAAATTTGGTATGAGGCGTACACAAAACACATCCACAGAGAATCGAGAATTTTGTTTGAGAAAAAATAATTGACGTAAGTTATGGTCAAGTAATTTATATAGTTAAATAGTTAAACAGTTGAACAATTTGATACCACGTTGTTTTTGTTATGTATCAGAAATATGGTATTATATGTACACAAAATGTACATGTTCTTCTATTTGAAAAAAAGTACTTTGGTTCTGACTTTTTAATAGTCTTTTGAGAGCTGTCACTTGAACTGTACTCGCTAATTTTTCTCGTGGTTTGAGCATCATTTTGCTAATTTATAATTTTAAATTCATTGACAAAAAGGGCAAGTGATCAAAGTTTGACTTGTGACATTTTTATCATAGGTGTCAATTAATTTGTGACGTAAAACTTGCTGCAATCAGAACTGAGCTCTTAATTAATTCGCTTTCTGAGTTATATAATCCATACTTCAAGGCTGTACCCATTTTGATTTTATTTGGCGACCTCCACTTTGGCTGGTTAACCCATGAATTTTTATAAAGCGCCTTTTAGCGCCAATATACACTTATTTGGATGGAACAGCCCGCGCCGAAAAAAAACAATTTTCTATCAAAATTATCCAAAATATGCAAAAAAGGTTTTTTTTGGCCTCATTTTACAACTCTTTGCCTGCGGCGCAAAATATTTGTCGAAACATTGTCTTTAAAGTGATTTTGGAGAGCTTGAAAGAGCAATTTGATTGACATAAAAAATTCTACTCTACGAGAAAGTCCTAGATCGGCTACTGCATCAAGATTTATTTAATTAAATATTTAAATTATCTATCATGATATATCTTAAAAAGTCATATATTACAACTCTAAAGCGCCAAGCAGGCATCATTGCATTTCGATTGGAAGCAATCAATACAAAAAAGACACGAAAACCAGTTGCTTATTATAAAACATATCGAGAATAAGTAAAAATTGAGAAAAATTGATATTAGACTAAGGAAGAAAAGTAGTGAGGCAGTATTTCGAATAGTATCCCGGGTTGACCTCCATGCAAGAAAAATGCCTATCATATAAATTTATATACGGAGTCTATAAAAAATGCTTATCAAACAATTACCAATGAAGGAAACTCTATAATAAGCGTTTTTTTTTCTCAGAAATTATCTTAATTTGGTTCGAAATTTGTGTCAGTTTTTTTGCTTGAGAGTAACTTTGGCATCAAGAAAATTCGTACAAAAAAGTGTTTATCATAATTTTTTATACATGATTTTGTATGATATGCATTATTTACGTAGAAAAAAATATTGAGGTAAAATGTTTTCTTTCTTTTTGTCTGCAAACTCGCTGCTGTGCTCAAAACAACACTTAACATAACATTTGATGATTTGAGTCTATAACAAAGTCCAGGCTGATATTTTCATACAACCAATTCAAAAATTTTAAGCAAGTATTTTTATATGCTAAAAAGAACCTCCATCTGTCAAAAAGTCGAAACTTTTTTTTCAACCACTGAATTTTTCGATCACTGAAGTAGAAGCTTTCTAGCTGTATGCAAAAGTTACGTTTATTGCATTTGATTGCGCGTAAAACGTAAATATTAATTCACGAGGCTAATGTCGCCAAAAGCAGCTTATCTGCGTGATCCATTTACACTCTGGTTTTTATAAAAATAGAAATCTCTTAGATGGTGTATATTTGGACAAAATACAAAATTTCAGAAGAAAAACCTGAAAAAGTTATACTAAGAAAAACTGTAAAAAAATAATGTAAAACATGCTTATCAAACAATTTCATTGCATGGAAAAAGATCATAGTATAAAAATTTGGATATGCTATTTTCATAATTGTATGACCAGTGTTTTTTTCTCAGAATAAAACTGTACGATAAGTATTTCATGTCAAACCGGGATAGTGATACATAGAAACGGTGCATCGAATGGTTAACTAACTTATGAGAAAGTAGGCCTTTAGACTTATTTCACTTTTGTAGCGAGAGTAGCCACCTTTGCTTTCGACAGAGTTCATCACAAAAATTGTAGTCGGCTGCTGTACAAGTAGCACAGAAAGGTCCAATCACATTTGAATTTATAAGGAAACCTGAATTGAAAACAAAAGTGAAAAAGTGCCACCTGGGTTTTACTGTCTAAATAGTAGAATGAGCCAACCTGCTGTAAAAGACCCTGAAAATTTTTCAGCTATATTTTGTAATGAGAAAAGTTCATGAGCTGGCGTTTTTAAAGTTGGCTCCGATATCAACAATCAAGGTAAAAAAGAAGAACTTTTAATCAAGAGTTTGGAGTTCTTGTTGCTCTTTGAAAAATTAAACATTTCAAACTTGACCCTAAAAACTTAAAATTTGTACAACTGTTTAAAAGACGTACTTGCTTTTTTCAAAAAATTCTCATGATTTTTTTCCTATTTTTATTTCAGATTTGAATATCAATTTGTAAAAAAATTTCAAAAATTGATCCCTTTCTAAAAGCACAAAAAGGGCTGTTTTGAATCATATATATAATCAACGTTAATAGCAAAAAGCACCAATTTTATCCATTCAAACTTCAAATTTCGTGAAATTCAGCTGAAAATAATCTTTATTACTTCATATGACACTCACTCTGGTTGGATCAACTAAATTTAACTCTTTGCATGTTTTTTCTCATTCTTTGCCTGCGGCGCAAAATATTTGTCGAAACATTGTCTTTAAAGTGATTTTGGAGAGCTTGAAAGAGCAATTTGATTGACATAAAAAATTCTACTCTACGAGAAAGTCCTAGATCGGCTACTGCATCAAGATTTATTTAATTAAATATTTAAATTATCTATCATGATATATCTTAAAAAGTCATATATTACAACTCTAAAGCGCCAAGCAGGCATCATTGCATTTCGATTGGAAGCAATCAATACAAAAAAGACACGAAAACCAGTTGCTTATTATAAAACATATCGAGAATAAGTAAAAATTGAGAAAAATTGATATTAGACTAAGGAAGAAAAGTAGTGAGGCAGTATTTCGAATAGTATCCCGGGTTGACCTCCATGCAAGAAAAATGCCTATCATATAAATTTATATACGGAGTCTATAAAAAATGCTTATCAAACAATTACCAATGAAGGAAACTCTATAATAAGCGTTTTTTTTTCTCAGAAATTATCTTAATTTGGTTCGAAATTTGTGTCAGTTTTTTTGCTTGAGAGTAACTTTGGCATCAAGAAAATTCGTACAAAAAAGTGTTTATCATAATTTTTTATACATGATTTTGTATGATATGCATTATTTACGTAGAAAAAAATATTGAGGTAAAATGTTTTCTTTCTTTTTGTCTGCAAACTCGCTGCTGTGCTCAAAACAACACTTAACATAACATTTGATGATTTGAGTCTATAACAAAGTCCAGGCTGATATTTTCATACAACCAATTCAAAAATTTTAAGCAAGTATTTTTATATGCTAAAAAGAACCTCCATCTGTCAAAAAGTCGAAACTTTTTTTTCAACCACTGAATTTTTCGATCACTGAAGTAGAAGCTTTCTAGCTGTATGCAAAAGTTACGTTTATTGCATTTGATTGCGCGTAAAACGTAAATATTAATTCACGAGGCTAATGTCGCCAAAAGCAGCTTATCTGCGTGATCCATTTACACTCTGGTTTTTATAAAAATAGAAATCTCTTAGATGGTGTATATTTGGACAAAATACAAAATTTCAGAAGAAAAACCTGAAAAAGTTATACTAAGAAAAACTGTAAAAAAATAATGTAAAACATGCTTATCAAACAATTTCATTGCATGGAAAAAGATCATAGTATAAAAATTTGGATATGCTATTTTCATAATTGTATGACCAGTGTTTTTTTCTCAGAATAAAACTGTACGATAAGTATTTCATGTCAAACCGGGATAGTGATACATAGAAACGGTGCATCGAATGGTTAACTAACTTATGAGAAAGTAGGCCTTTAGACTTATTTCACTTTTGTAGCGAGAGTAGCCACCTTTGCTTTCGACAGAGTTCATCACAAAAATTGTAGTCGGCTGCTGTACAAGTAGCACAGAAAGGTCCAATCACATTTGAATTTATAAGGAAACCTGAATTGAAAACAAAAGTGAAAAAGTGCCACCTGGGTTTTACTGTCTAAATAGTAGAATGAGCCAACCTGCTGTAAAAGACCCTGAAAATTTTTCAGCTATATTTTGTAATGAGAAAAGTTCATGAGCTGGCGTTTTTAAAGTTGGCTCCGATATCAACAATCAAGGTAAAAAAGAAGAACTTTTAATCAAGAGTTTGGAGTTCTTGTTGCTCTTTGAAAAATTAAACATTTCAAACTTGACCCTAAAAACTTAAAATTTGTACAACTGTTTAAAAGACGTACTTGCTTTTTTCAAAAAATTCTCATGATTTTTTTCCTATTTTTATTTCAGATTTGAATATCAATTTGTAAAAAAATTTCAAAAATTGATCCCTTTCTAAAAGCACAAAAAGGGCTGTTTTGAATCATATATATAATCAACGTTAATAGCAAAAAGCACCAATTTTATCCATTCAAACTTCAAATTTCGTGAAATTCAGCTGAAAATAATCTTTATTACTTCATATGACACTCACTCTGGTTGGATCAACTAAATTTAACTCTTTGCATGTTTTTTCTCATTCTTTCCTTAAATTAAACAAGCAGAGTAAAAACACCAAAGTGCAATCACAGTTGCTTCAACTGAAAATTCGAGTAGCTCATCAACTTAGACAAACTCGACAAATTGACCACGCAGAAGTTGTTGAATTGGCGTTTTTCAGTTCCCAGTATTTAACAAAAAACTGATCTCCGCTGAACTGTATTTGGATTTTTAGAGCAGAAAGTAAATATTTTTCAAATGGCACGTAAACAGAATAGCTTGTGTTTGTGCTGGACTTTAAACCTTTACCGTTATTTGGTCAAAAACCAAAAGTGCTTCAGACAAAAACTTATTTAAACGCACGGCATTTTTACTTGAGTGAAGCAACCTGCCTTACTTGATTTTATTAGAAGCTATGATTAGCAGAAGTTAACAAAAAAGTAAGCTATGGTTGATTACGGTTCAATGCAATTGGTTTAAGCGAGGCTTAATTGATATATGCTGTTTCATAAAAATACTTCATTTTTTTGCTGCTTAAAAGTTCGTACATTTTGTAGTTTGAAATAGGATT